ATTCTAGCAATGTGACTTTCAAGCTCGAGGGCTCAGCAAAGCTGTGCACTTTGATGGGTGTTAGTTGGTTGGACGAAGTTGGTAGGAAGCCGCTGGTAGGTGTCTCGTGCTTTTTGGTACTCATCAGCAAAGTGTATCAGTGGCTAACTGTGACACTTCTTGACGTGGGTTGAAATCTTATATGAGCCATCAATTTTTTCGAGGTTGCAGGCGAAGCTCACTAACGAGTGACAACTAGTAAGAAATCTACCTCCAGTGGTTCATGTCAACTAATTCTGGCCAACTAACCCTATTCATTTTTCTTCATCATCTTAATGTAGGCTGCATAATTTAATTTCCAAAACTTGAGAATTTCAGTGTTTGGACTACTTACTACTATGAAAAATATTCTAACAATTCATAAGTAAGAGTATTTCTGAACTTTGATATGAATTGTGTAGGCTATTCACCTCATTACTTGAACAAAACGTTTGAATGAACTGAAAGACTAGATCCATTATTAACTACTTATTCATTGAAGTGTCAAACTTATGTTTCACCAGCCCACAGAGTCCTATGCTAATATATCAACTGGCCTTCATAGTATAACCAGAGTCGTTAAGTTGTCTTTGTCTGACCTTGTAACTTATATATCGTTGTCCTTTTCAAGGTCCTGTTGTTTTCCAAATCTTAGTTCCACCGTATTACGTCGTTTTTTGTCAATCTAGTTTAGGTAAACACCATGACTGTAGCTCATCCGAAATTTCTGCTTCAGATTAGAGACAGACTTCATCATAATATGAACAGTTTACTCAAGGAAGGCAGAAAGAGTACAATTAAGTAAAAAAGAATTTAATGTCAAAAAAAGCGTTTCTTTCAGGCTACAAGTAACTTGTCACTGAGGCAAACTCAGAGATATACTTTATACATGAACGTAACATTTTACACGCAAATACCTTTATTACGCATACAGACAGTTTTTTTAGCTCCATACAAAAATTATCACAGTCAAAGAAATAATTTAAAAAAATTATCTATAGCCAACTGGAAAGTTTTCCTACTGCTCAGTGGTAATAATTGTGTAACATGACACTGTACAAAATCAGCATTTTACCTGAATTGTAGTGGTTCAATGTCCTCTAAGCTTGGATATTTTGTTGTGGACATTTCATCTTTAAGCTTAGTGACATCATCAGTACTGACTAACACGCAGAATATAATATCAAAAGTCAAATAACGCTAAACCGATATCATCCTAATCCTGAGCTGAACCATTTTACACTTAAACCACTTCACTATTGGCTTTTTTTAATCTGTTAGGCATTTATCTTAAAAATATATCTCAATCACAAGAGTTTTTTTCTAGGATCTTATAATCCATCTCTAAGATAAGAGCTAAATTGTTTTAGTAAATATCAGGTAGATGAGTTAATTGTAATCTTTTTTTCAATGATTTCTAATTCATTGACTTTCGATTTTATTCCCATTAAGGCTAATCTGTCTAGACATCTCAAATATTTCCTATCATAAAAATTGACTCTTTTTTAAGTGATTACAATGAAATGTGTCCAGTTTAAAACAGTTAGATGAAATATAAACATATATATGTACATCATTCAACATTTTAAAGCATGTTACTACAATAGAGAGGTGTAGATGTGACTGCATACGGGTTGGTTACAAGATTTCTTAACAGTCTAGACTACTATTGGAAGATATACTTTTTTTTAAAGTATGGTATCAGTGACTTTTTTTTGAAAGATATACATAACTGCATACTAGTGTGAGATATTGTGGCTTGAATGCTTATTGATTCCATTGATCCCTTTATTATTAAAATTCTGTTGTAATTATTCATTTACTTATTTCATTCCAGCATTATAATCTAGATGAGATTGTATTGTCTAGGATTTGTACTGGTGGGAACACTGAAATGCTGTCTGATTAATTATTCACTTTACTGTGTGATCAGACCCAATCCATTAAAAAACAGCTTTGATAACTATTGACTTATCATAATAAACTGATCACTATTCCTAATATCGAAGTGAATCAATAATCACCCTGACAGCTGACCAACTGACCGTGTGTATACTTTCAACAATTATTTTGAGCAATCAAAAAAGCCAGCAGTTACAAACAGAATGTGTGAGTGAGTCAACATATATAAGAACTATGCATTAACGGTGATATAGCTGCACTGATTATCCACTGGAGAGCAACGAATCTCAGGTTGTTTAGTTCTGAATTCCAACTGCATTCTGATGACTAAATTTTTTGCAATGTGGCCACTGAGCTAAAAGGCTCAACATTGTGGTACACTTAGATAGAAGTAAGTTGATTGAAACCAGTCAGCAGAGACCCCTCAATATAGGTTTTGGCACTCATCAGCAAAGTGTATCTGCAACCTCTACGGAACTGATGCACTCTGTGAGATTCAAACTTACGTCACTCAGTGTTGTAGTTAGTGACGTTACTACTGAGCTATTGGGACCATGACTGAGCTCATGTAAGACTGAGTTAGGTGTATATACTGGTGGCTAGAGAGTAATAAAACTCATGTTATCGATTCCTGGTTGCTGACAGAATTCTGTCGATCATATGTTTTCCAATGTGGCCACTGAGGTAGGAGGATCACCATTGCGGTGGACTTAAATAGGTGTTAGTTTGTGATATGGTAGTAGGCAAGTAACAAGTAAGTTCTTGTGAGTGCATATAATGCTCTCAACGAGTCAGCTGCATTCACAACCGTTGAAAAGTCAGTTGTACCAAAAAACTCTGAAGTCAGTACTTATATTATACCACTTTTAAAGTTGATCATCACGGCCCGACCTCACACAGAGAAACATCGAAGAAACCTGGGAGCACTGAACAGCTGTTTTGGTCCCAGTATGGGGCTCCTCCACGGTATGCATGCTTGGACTCACCATGGAGCAAAATCAGGACCTTCAGGTCTCCAGTGGAGGACCTTACCTATCCCCTGATGGGTCAGAATCCAACGGTGCAAATTCATTCACTTTTGTCAATTCGTGAAATAGCAGGACCTTAACCCGGTGCCATTGTCCAGTTGATTTGCTCCAGGTGTCATGATTGTTTATAAGAATCGCCGTAAGTCTCATGCGGAAGCAGGTCAACAATGATGGCTTAATGGTAACTACGGGTCCTAAGTTCGAACCCTGGTGGGCTCATAGGTGAGAAGTCTCATACTAACACTCAGTAGCTTTCTAATGTTTCAGGGTTTTACAGCTGATGTCTCTGTGTCATGAATACCGGACTGAGATCAACCATTTGACACAAAACGCAAAACTGAACAACTGGTCTTTCCAGTTCAGGGCTGTTTGTGATTGACTGACACCTGGAGCTAAATATCATCCTTTCTATTTGACATCGCATCTATGAGGAAAACCATAGAATTTTAGTTCTTCCTCAGTAGTAAAGTTCATCAATTGGTAAAAAAAACTCACTGAATCGTCTAAACAGTTCATAAAAGAGACATGTTGGAACAACCTTCTGGATACTTTACGAGGTAAGTTAAACTTGTCCAAAGGTCAATGTTTGTGCAACTTATGCATATTTAAAAAGCTATGTGTGAGCGAAAGACTGGAATTAGTACTCAGAATCATATTGAGTAGCTATCGATTCCAGGTTGATGTAACTGGAATTTCTTCTGCCTCCAAAAGTAAAACAATATCTATTTCATTGACTACAGAGAATTTTATTACGTTGCCACATGTTTTCGGAAACCAAATTTTATCCCCACAAAGCTGAGGACGTCTTTACAACATCTCATCTTTATTTAATCCTGAAGAGTTAGGAAGTATAAGTCGTTCTCTGACTGTTGTTCAAGTATCTTAGGCATTGCTGGCGGATAAAATAATAGCAGTGTTCGGAATTGTGATAAGAGTGCAAGGGATATCTAATTGGCTATGAAATCGTAACTGTCATCTTCAATGTTATTTAACTGTTTTTTGATCAAACAACGCACAAGAGTGACTTACTAACTCAGTCTGTTTTTCACTTCAATTACTGAGATAATAACTTGCCTACCAAGGAAGAGATGAAGAATTCAGAAGCTGTTTTTCTTCCAGTTTTAATTTCCACTGTTTACGCAGGGGTCAATTCACTAACTAAAGCCAAATCAAATAGTCTAGTTGTGATCCTATAATCCTCTACCGAGAAAGATTTTCGTTAGTGCACTACGATTTTGTCTGTGCTTCGAAGTTTCTTCAGCGGCTGGATTAGTTTTACGGGGTTGGGTTGCTAGCCCTGTGCTCAATCTTCTCTCTTCACCCGGGCTTTGGACCTGCTAGTAACTAGTGAACTAGTTAACCAGGCAAAGTAAATTCACCGTCGTTTGTTAAATTATTGATAATAATATCATTGTTATTTGTCCCTTGGGTTCCTAATGGATCTTATGTCTTCAGTAGCACGTCTTCAATGCGCTTTGTTCTCTGAAGTCTTTTGTACCTGGCTCCACGACAGCCCACAAGCTCTCATTTTTTCCTTGCACGATAATATAACATAATATATCATATTATTATATATCATTATATAATATAGATAATATATAATATAATATACGTTAATATGAGTGTGGAATGAACGATGCACAGAACATTACGACTGGTAATTTATAGAATCAATGAGACTTCAGCATGATGCATACATCTGCTGGGATTTTACTCACAATACATGTAAACGTTTAATTTATGTATGCATATCTTACTAGTGAACGCTGCCGCAAAAGATTAAAACATTGTACAGTTTTGCTTAGCAACTGACAACTAAACGGGACGAAACAGGAATCATGAATGTCACTGATTGCCACTATGTGTCCTAAGTATAATTCCATACTGTGCTACCATTTACATCCAGAAATATATCACTAGGTTGCATTTATATACCAGTGCTGATCTTTGTGATTTTATGTGCATGAGATTTTGTAAAATTACTCCTTGCTAAGAAGTTTGAGGAGTCAATATTTCATGTTATCCTTTGCTTTCTTTTCATCTGTTACGTAGACTAATAACAAAATGGTTTTTGTTAAAAACCGTGACGTTGCGCTTTCCTCAAGTAACAACAATCAACTTAATATTCATCTCCTGGGTAAAGAAGAAACAAAACCTATCGGTATATACCAGTGTCAACAAAGTAAGCTGAATTATGCAAATCCGTTGAAAAGTGCCTTCAAAATATATCCGGATGAGGAAAGAGGTCAGCCGACTGATAATACAAGTCGTCAAAAAGACAGTAGATGTTTTAATTGTTTTGAATTCATTTCAAAACACCTAACAGATAATCGATCGAACAGAGATGAAAATACTTCACTTGAAGCAAATGGGCCTGATCCTCAGAAATATTCATATAAACGCAGAAAATCACTTGCTTTTATACATGGATTAATATCTGGTGGGAGAAAAATTCGAGATGGTAACTCAGCTAAGCTGAATAGAGTAAGTTTCATGTTTAGAAATAAACCTCTGTAGGAGTATTCTAGTTGTATTCGCATACAATCATTCACATTTTTTATCATCGGTTGGAAGCGCCACACTACTACTTTAATCCATTCATCGAAATTTATTTGTCTGATTATTTATTATCTGTTATCTTTATTTTTATTTGATTAGATTGCTTTAAGTTCTTAGATCTCTTTCATGAACAGTGAAGTGCATATGATTGAACTCACTCATCTACTCATCTTTAAAATGGCTGCTAAGAACAGAATGTAGTTCAGACCTCAAACTCTTCCTCGATGAGTGTGATCATATGCTTAACCGTGAACGAAGATAATTACTAAGTCGATGATTATCGTGATTATTGGCGCATAGAACTAAATTAAAGATAACGAACCGAAAAACGATGCAAGGGCAACCAAACGACATGTAAATCTTCACATACACTTTAATAACCACAAATTTACCAAGTTTAGAGTTGAACAACACCTAACATTGCATCAGAGAGTTGATATTATCTAGATTCTCTGAAAATAACTTAAAGTTGAACTAACATTTATGGACTGGTAACTTTCATATATTCATCCGAATGTGATGGTTACGATTTATTCTGCTTCAAACTAAAATATAATTAAACACGATACGTACTTATAGTAGAAATAATGCCCAGAAATTATGTTCATCAGAAATCAACGGTACACTTTGACGTTGTTATTTCCAGTGAATTGAACAAATTCAAACAATTTTACATATTCCTTAATAAATTATTCACAGTACGTCACAGAATACTGTTAATAATATTATATACTTGACAGCTCACCTGCTGAAAATGCAAAGTCAACTATTCGTTTCGTATGCATCATCAGATGCTGAATTAAACTTTGACCGAGATGGAAGTTTATAATGGTTATGAATTCTGTCCACTGAATGAATCATTTAGAAATTTAAGAATTTTACAAGAAATTGCCAAAAGGATTGGTGACTAACGTTCTGCATAAGCACCATTCAGTCTAAAGAAACTGACATCATAATTCGCTTTCTGTTGTCCTATTATCCTGCCCAAAACATCAGTAAATATATTCAGTTTACTCAGAGAACTATATTTAAACTACTCAGTGAAAAATAAGACATCTCTTCTAGGATAAGCAAGTATAGTTCTTGTTTGTTTGACAGTAATCCATAGCAAATATTTGATCACATAAAAAGCTGGTTGGATAAGCCCATATAAAATACTTATGGGCCAATAGCGGAAAGTTATTTCTGTCCGGTAAGGCAAATAGTAGAAAGTTAAATCATTGAACAAAGATTAATAAGAGTTGTACAAATGAAGACTTTTGTGACTAAATGGTCCAAATGATAACAGCACTTCATCATCTGAAACGAAAACCATGAGCTCAGATTACATTTAAGTGCCAAGCAAGGCGTTATTCATATAGTTCTGCTTATTTATCCATTTGCTAGCTAAGGTCTGTCAATATCCCCAAATGGGGTGAAAATCAGTAAATATAAACTTTTAATAATAATCTCAGTCTCTTCAAATTATATGCAGCCTTGGATTAATTGCTAATTCTGTGGACTGTAGGTGAGTAAGAAACTGTTATCTAATAAAGTCTTATGAAGAGTACTAACTTCTGAATACTCCTCAGTCGACGTCAAATGGCTAAGTAAAAACAGTATAAAACACTGAATGCTTCTTGATATTCATAAGTAAAGTGCTACCGTATTTTCCACGAAAATTACATAAATTTCAATGTACTCAAACAGTACAAGAGTAGAACTTCAGCAGTATGGCACACTTTAGATTTATGCAGAATTTAAGACATCTTCTTTACTAATATAGTTAGAGACTTTATCGTTTTTATGAAAGATTAACCTAATTCTCCCTTAAAAATGTTCATGCCTTTTTAATGAAAATACTCATCGATAATTTTTTTCATTATTATTACTATTCCATAACTGCTGACTCTATTTACCGTTTTTATTCTTTCATTTTTATTTACAGCAAATTAAAAATTTCAGTGGAAAAAATGTTCCAGAATATAAAATACAAAAACTTACAAAATCTAATTTTGTTCTACTACATTATGGATTTTTTCGAATTGTCTGGGATTGGTTATTATTGTTACTAACATTTTACATTGCATTCATTGTACCTTATAATGTAACCTTTGAAAGTCATTCAACACATTCAAGCCGATGTAGGATTATTGATTTGATTGTTGAAATCTTCCTAATCATTGGTAGGTTATTGGGGAATAATATGGTTCTTTTTTTGCAATTAGAAAGGATTTTTGATGATGACAGTTTTAATTCTGAAGATTCTGGCTGTTTTTATTTCCAAATGCATCCCGTAAAGGATTTCACATTCTTTCTATTCGACACTATGTATTCAAATAAGTAATTCGCTGTAAATATTATTGTTATACTGAAAGATAGTACAGATTTTTTCATTTATTCCTAGAGAAGATAACTTTACTTATGCTTCTGGTGTAGAAGTGTGGGAATGATTAGCCATGAAGCTACATCAACAAGTATCCCAAATCTTATGATTTAATTAAATTCAAGTTAAAATTATCTGGATGCTAATATTGCTCGCCTTTCCTTATGAAATATCTCCTAATCCTGAAATTCATTTGATCGTGGAAAATTAGAGGTTGCAAAAGGCGATTAAAACAGTCTCAGTAATAAATGTTTAAAATATATGAAATCGCTGCAATTTAAACTGATATATGCTCCCAAATCTAAAATTTAGTAGCGAATAATTACAATTGTCAAGCTAACTACCGTTAGTATTCAGCATGGACAGCAATCATTTCGAAAACAACTGAAAATCTGAGAGCACCTGATAGAATTTTTAGCTTATTTCATCCTTAGTAGTGATCATCGATGACCCAGTGGTCAGGCGGTTAAGGGTTCGATCTATGACGTTGTTATGAATGTCCAATCTTGAGGAATTCCATACAGGGACGAAAAGACAGCCATAACTCTCAGGTTTTCAGTGGTTCTCCGAATGATGTCAGTCTGAGACAAACATCAGCTTCAAATCAGTAAATCCTCATAAGTCTTTAAACAGAACAACCACCGTTCACTCTAGCGCACCATTCAAAGTACTTATTGAACACTGTTGTTAACCATTCCAACCTACCGTCTCAGAAGAAGGATAATTGCTGTTCACTTCAGAGATGAAAGGTACAACTAATATCTTAAAATGGAAGCTTAAATGCTGCAACATGATGATCTTTCATCTTACACGTTTCAAGCAGTGCTATTACATGGATTTATCTGTCACAGTTACATACGTATTGAGATCTTTACATCTGATTTTTCTGATCTTCAGTTTTTTTAAAGTTGTGCATTTAATCAAAGGGATAGGAAAAAAACCTACCTGTCAAGGTAAAATATTTGGGATTTAAAAAATAAACTTGAGTATTCTACCCACCTATACTTTGAAATATTTAAAACAGTAGACTTAATTATTGTTGCTGTTGTTCGAGTCCTATTTCCATTCGCATGCAAATATACTACCGTAAAATGAATAGGAAATAATAGTAAATGTGAAAAAAATATACATAACTGGACGAGTAATAATAGTAGTAATAGCAGTGAGAAGATAATCAAACTGATCTGCGGAGTTTTTACAGTCGATCAAATACCAAGTCACCTCAACAGGTGTGTACCCAGGTTAATTCAGCTAACACGGTTAAAATGTGCTGATCAAATAAAATTTGCTGGTTGCGTTAGAACGATTTGTTAATTCACCATTCTATTTATAGTAGGTCGATTCATCTAGGTTAGTTTTATTGATCCTGTCCTTCAACCTGAGTCTGCATGCATGTACTACTGATGAGCCAGTCCTCGAGTAAGAGCCCACTGGTGTTTAGATCAGTTTCATCTTTCTAGAGAAATCCACACATAAGCATGAATGGTCTTCAATAACTCAAGTTTTTTTCTTAGTCAGTGACTATTTTGTGTAGGACACCAGACTTTATGATCTTGTCATTGAGGTTTCCAAATGTAAATCCCATGGACACTGCAGTTACTCAGTTATGAACAGTGTCTAAATTAACCGAGACATTGATAATGAATTTGCAAATTAACGAGACGTTGCGATCTCAACACAGTAAATGTATCATCCACATATCACCATCATATCTCAGGACAAAATATACAGACAAACAGAAGAAGTAGCGATCCTGAACCTAGGATATGGTGGCGATATGTGGGTGACACATTCATTGTGTTGAAATCCAAACATCTCGATAATTTCCTGGCACATATAAACTCAGTAGTGGGCGTAATCTAATTCACTTACAAGGTAGAAAATGAACAAGGAGAATTACCTATGTTAGATTGCAGGATAAAATGAAAGACAAACGGTCGTTTGAATGCTGTCATCTACGGGAAACCAATACATCTCAGCAGGTATGTAGACTTCAGGTCATCTCATTCAGTGTTAGTTAAGGCTAGTTTAGCCAGATGTCAAAAGATGGTGCTATAAAACTGACTAGTCTGTGTATAGACTTAAACAAGGAACATAAAAAAAAGCGTTAACCATTAATAGCTATCCTCTACAGTTTATTAAGAACTTCGTACGGACACATAAGAAACGAAATGATAACAGTAACACGATACGAATAACAACGACGACACATATAGAAAGGAGTTCACAGACTCAACTTTGTTATTCTTTAAGAAAGGGACATCCGAAACTCAATATGGGATCCTCAACAAAGTTGGAGTTAGGGTGGGATTAAGACCTTCAAACTCACTCAGAGATAAGCTTTTTCAGCTTAAGGATCCGATAGATTCAACTAAGCAAAATAATCTAGCCTATCAAATTCCATGCAATGACTGTGAGGTCAAGTATATAAATTAAACCAGCCTATCAGGATCAGTTAGGTTATCAGAATATAGAATTTAGCTAAATATAGACAGATACTCAACGATGACATTGGGTGGCGGTTTGCGCTATATCGTGAGCTAACAGAAGTTGGAAATATGGAGCATTGGATTCTGACCCAGTGGCTCAATGGTAACGCGCTGGTCGCGGAACCTGAAGGTCGCGGGTTCGATCCCTGCTGGTGGGGTCGTGGGTGCGTACTGCTGAGGAGTCCCATACTAGGACGAAACAGCTGTCCAGTGCTCCCAGGTTTCCTTTGTTCCTCCAACTGATGTCAGTCTTCAATGAATAACAACTTGAAATATTTCCAAATCTCCACAACCCCCTCAAAATTTAAATATAGAATGACAAATCTCAATAGGATCAATAATGTAGAAAAACACAACTATTGCAAAGGATGCACTAACACACAACAACACAATAGGCTAGTTGGGATAAAACCACTGGACTTAAAGTCCAATACAATTAGATGGAGAGAGAGATTGGTAACTTAATCCTTGTTCATCGAATCTACACCCAACACGTAATAGTAATGACGCTACACCTATACTAGAGATATGGAAAATTTTATTACCGATAGAAGCAAAGAATATCAGGTGACAGGACTATAAAAATGAGATTTGGAAAGTAGTGTAATTACATTGATATGATTATGAGCAATTATTTCTGCTCGTAACGTCATTAAGTAGATAACACTGTATCATTGTGTGTTATAAATCAAATGAACAAATCTTATCTGTGCCTTGCAGAACCTCTGACTGTAGCTCCAGTTAGTTCGGTTGTTATCCTTCAGTGATACATCTGCATAGTTCGCTAACGCTTACCCACAAAAATAAACCTATAGTAGAAATATTTGCTACTTGCTCAATGTTAAAAACTCTGATTGCTAACGTTTACAGCATAACTGAAAAGGGTACCGAGTATTACATCATAAGTTTAGAAAGTAGTATTGCTTACCCCAGTTTGCCTGGCGTGCACTTGCTTTGCAAGGATGTGATAATACTCTGATTAATGGAGCTAACAGAAGATTACTTATTATCTTTAATATACAGAGAATGAAATTTATTTGGTAAACACTAGACACCTTTCAGAACATGTGTGGAAGCCATCTATGCATTGTGTTGAATAGATTAAAGGCTGTTAGAAGTCATATTTGCGTGAAGCAATGAATATATACACATTCTGTAATAAAAGTGTACTTATGTTGGGAATACATTCCGATAACATGTTGACTGGTCAATCGCTTATTTTTCTAAAAAACTAACATTCTAATTATTATTTTCATGTTTTCGCTTTTCGATTATTTACAGATGTGATATTAAATTTTCATACAACTTATGTCAATAAAAGTGGTCAAATTATTAATGATCGTCATTTAATTGCAAAACACTATGCTAAAGGCTGGTTAATTTTAGATTTGTTAGCTGCTCTACCTGTTGATTTCATATTGATTTTTATTCAACTTACATCAATTACCAACTTGGAGGACGTGTATATAAATTCGAGTACAATGGAAACATATAACAATACTGATAAAACAAATCAGACACAATTATTTACCTTATTTTTCAAGGAACAAGAACATCACGATTCGAAGCCAGTAGTGAAATTTAACTTGGTAAGAACAGTTAACTCCTTTTATTTAATCCACATTACTTGATATGTGCTATATATAGATTTACAGATTTAATATTATTAGAGTTTTCGATTAGGCTTCACGAATAGTAAGGAGAACTTGATCAAGTTAATTGAAGGTGATTTTGAAATCAGACTTGTATGCTATTGGATGATTCAGACAATATTATCCATATAACATACGTTGAGTTAACTATGAGTGTCCAATTATACAACATCAGTCTGTTACTACTACCCATTGTACTGAAGTTTACTTGTGTAATTCCAACTTCAAATAACAACTCTGAGGCAATACAAAATTTAAGCTAGCAGTTGCACAGAGATGTAGATTCCTCGGTTAAATGATAATTTAGCTTCAGTTTCAACGTGAAACACTCAACTGTTTCATTTTCCTCCTAAATGTATTGCTTACATTATATTTGCATATTGAAATAACCACGTTATACACATATTAAAAATTTTATGCATTTGGTCTTTTTGAAAAATTCAATTTACCTTTATATAGTCACCACGAAATGACATGAGTTGGAAACCCATTGGAAAACTGAAACCATCAAACAGCTCTTCCTCTCTAATATGCGATTCCTCACCAGTACACGACAATGACCCTGCCTCATATCGGATCCAAGCTCCTCAGGTTCTACGGCTAGTACCTCGCCATAAAGCCAAAGCGTCAGAATCAAGTGGTCCACATTCGCCCCACTTCTGTCTCTTCACGATATAGCGTGACCTAAATCCAGTGTCGTCGTTGAGTAACTGTCGTCATGTTTGACTTGGTTGGCCCAACCGTTCACTGTTTCTGATTTGAACTTCAGGAATCTTCTCTCGAAGTCAATCTCCAGTGAGCAATAGAGTAATTTAACCTTGAAGTTTTTGGGAATTTCCGGATTGGTTTCAGTTTGCAATTCATCTGTTGCGAGGTCTAAAACTACTGTTGTTTTTAAAAGGTTTTATATTGATGTAATTAAAACAATTGTAGGTAGTGTCAAACTAAAGAATCCAAAAAGTTGTAAAAACAGACAATCATAACTTGTGTGGAACAATGACTAATAGAGAAATAGAATCCTAGCTTATGGCAGGATGGAAAACAATGGCCTGCAGGTTTTGACCCAGTTCTCAATGAAGTGAGCCTTTAGATCGGACTTTTGGTAACAATAAGCAGACACTTATGCATAAAGTAATCAACTAACTGACATAAAACGCCCCTGTTGACTAAAGTAAAGATCTTTTCCGCAGCCGCATCTAACAGCTCGGCTGGTATTGTTCAGCGTGGGTAATTCACGGGTTAATGGTTTCATTACTTCAGATTCCCAGTTTTTTCACATTCACTCATTACAATGTATTAGTATTAACAGTCTGTTAAACCAGCTGATGTCAGTCTACGATGAATAACAACCTGAAATATTTCCAAATCCCCACAAATCCCTCAAAATTCAGTTGAACTGGTGCTCATTGGTGACTAACTTCGAGAGGTATTCCCGAAGTTCCAATGAGAAGTCATAACCGGTGGGAGCAAAGCCCCACGGTCGTGAGGACAGTTACTCAACGATGACATTGGGTGGCGGTTACGCTATGTTGTGAACTGACAGAAGTTGGAAGTGTGGACTATTGCATCCCGACCGAGTGGCTCAATGGTAACGTGCTGTCCACGGGACCTGAAGGTCGTGGGTTCGACCTCTGGTAGGATCATGGGTGCGTACTGCTGAGGAGTCCGATACTAAAACAAAACAGCTGTCCAGTGCTCCCAGGTTTCCTTTGTTCCTCCAACTGACATCAGTCTACGATAAATAACAACTTGAAATAAACCATTTTGGTCTCAAATAGTTCTATCGATAGAAAAATCATAATTTCCAGATTGAAATCAATGTTAATTTACAGGTTATGTGAAAGAAGGTTCAAGAGTTGTACATATGGGGTAGGTTATGCAAGAAAAGAAATAAGTAGTACGAACTAAGAGATCGCCTAACATAGATATCATTCCTCAGATGCTATGTAATCTGTCAGCTAGAAGATTTTTGTCTTAAAATTCTTTATAACTTTTGAAGCTTATTTTTCAGAATATGTCCCGTTAATGATTTCGATTCACAACTTGTGATTTTACTGCTTTGTCAGTGTTTTGAATTTCCCCATTTCAGTATTTTGCCTGAGTTCACTAAGCAGCTTTCAGTCAAGGAATGTTATAACATGATTTTGTGCTAACAACATTTCCAGACGTAGACTGTGTGCAACTTATGAGCGAAATAAAAGACATTTTATGAATAAAATTCGGTTCTCCTTTCTCTGTCAAAAGTAGGAATTTTTTAAGCTTAGTGACTGATCGGCAGCTCTTTCATTATGGACTGAAATCACATAGTAATAAACTTTCAAAGAATAGAAATCTAGCAACCACCAGGTTTGTTGGAGGTACAGGAGTTGTTCTTCCTGACGAAAGTAACTGTAACTACAAAGTGGTTGGTATTATGAAGAATAGAATCAACTCTAAAATCTTGGAGTGCCAAAAGAACCTAAATAGTGAATTAGAGAATGAACTGACTTGGTCTTTGGGAAATTGAAAAGGTGAACGATCATGCCTTCAGGTTCATATAATGACATTAAACCTTCAGGTATACGCAAAAACTAGTTACACAATCCAGATTTACAACTTCCCTGACAGTGTTCCAGCAAAGGGTTTGGTAACTATCTGCAGAGGTTTACATGATTAAGTAGAGAGATATGATGTGCAACACTCATCCGAAGTTTATCTACAGAATGAAACATGGCAACACCAAACATGAAATTATGGTATCGTTCGACTCAACATTTTTATTTATGTGTGTCCGACTAACAGGAACAGTCGGTTATACACCCCAGTAGGTGAACGAATGTAAAAATTTCAATGAAATTCATCACAGAATTACTGCTAAATATATAACGAACTTTGGTCTCAAATTTTGTGAGGAGTTATAAAGAGAGTTCCCTATGAGTTTTGACGTAAGTCTATATTTGCAGGTATCTTCCTAGCAAAAGTGAGGACAGTAGACTGATTAAGCTTATTGGTAAGTCGATATTAAGTTGCAGACATATGAGTGGTACATTCATACAACTCAAAAATGAAATAAAATAAGACTTCAGTTCCCCCCAAATTTAACACACTAAAGCTCACTTGTGAGTAGTAATCACAAAATAAGGTAGCTTTTCCAAGTGTTTTCTTCCTAAACGAACAAATGAATCGATCAGTAGGAACTTGAATAGGTCAAGTTAATAGATAGGAAGATATACAGACCTCATTAGCTTTGTTGCCCTCAAAGGAGAACCTAAATTAAGTCAATAACGTCAGCTACAGAGTTAGAATGATTCGAAAGAGCCTTAAAGACTCAAAAAACGCTGTGCATAAACATGTCTCCTCAGATGTACACGAATTCAAAAGTGTTAAGGGTAAAGCACGAACTTTCCATGCCGGCGGTGACCGGTGAGAAATTGAATTAGAAGCCACGAAGTTCAATCCGCCAAACTTAAATTAGACAAAATCGCAACCGATTCTTTCGATACACTAAATGAGTTGCTGAGGCAGAAAAATGTAAGTACCCGTGCAAGTTACTACTTGCTGGTGTTTCCAATTCAGCTGCTGTTGTATAGCCACTCACTTTGGATGTTGATATAAAAATTTAGTTTCCCAGAGTAGCATAATAAAGAAGTATTAGTAGCAGCTTCCCCCACCTAGTGTAAATGGACCAAATAGCTAATCTTATTCAATCATTTTGTCTCATCTTCATTTTCCTTACCACGCATTTTCCAAAATCCTCTGAACAGAGCAAGCCATAGATATGTCTTCCAAGTAGGACGTATATGTATAAAAAACAAATAAGTTAAACAGTTGGCTACATGCAAAGTCTGCAGTTGATATCAGTCCGTGATGAATAACGACCTCAAGGCAACAGTTATATTCCCGAAAACCTCAAAGTTAAATTACTCTATTGCTCACTGGAGATTGACTTCGAGAGAAGATTCCTGAAGTTCAAATCAGAAACAGTGAACGGTTGGGCCAACCAAGTCAAACATGACGACAGTTACTCAACGACGACACTGGATTTAGGTCACGCTATATCGTGAAGAGACAGAAGTGGGGCGAATGTGGACCACTTGATTCTGACGCTTTGGCTTTATGGCGAGGTACTAGCCGTAGAACCTGAGGAGCTTGGATCCGATATGAGGCAGGGTCATTGTCGTGTACTGGTGAGGAATCGCATATTAGAGAGGAAGAGCTGTTTGATGGTTTCAGTTTTCCAATGGGTTTCCAACTCATGTCATTTCGTGTTGAATACTAACCTTAAACCAATCTATTATCCCCTACAAGCTTCAAAACTGAAATTCACGAATCCTAAGACTTTCAGTTGCCGCAAATGCTTTTAGTACTGTGGTAGAGTACAGTAACGGATTCACCCTTTATTTTTATACTCTTTGTTTATCTACTTGTACATTCATATGTGCAATGATTGTCACATCAAATTTCATTTTGCCTCTAGTTACGCCAATTTTTATTCACGGGTTTCTTAGTTAAAAGCAGTGTAATTCATACTAATCTTTAATCACAATTAATCATCACTTCATAGTTCATTGTTGTTCGTAATCAATTACTTCGAATGAAAACGTTCTGCGATAATTGATTTCGAACATCTAATGTTACAAAGGACATATTATTATTATTATTGTTATAAATAATCATTATTATTTCAATAATTAATCATTTCGAACTAAATTCCAGCTCTATTTAATTTTCATATAAATAAATTCATGGACTATTTAATATTATAAACTTAATCTTTTCAAAACTTCACCGTTTTGAAGATACACTGAACTTACAGAGCTTAAGTAGGAAGTTGCTGAAAAGAATATTGTTTATGCACTAAAATACATCAACACTGTTAGCAGAGTAGGGCTAGACAAGTTGCTTGTCATAGTTTGGCATAATTTAACTATGCACATCAACTTCAAATGGGATAAAAGTTGACATCTATAAGTCCTACAGAAAGTACGTAATGACTATTTCAGTGAGTTTCAATGCCAAGTGGATTCATACTTACGTGTTTATACACATATAAATGCCACAGTCACGCAAAACTGGTGGTTACTGTCATTGAAATGCCAGATCAATGGTTTCTACAGTTACCCTTAAAAAACATTGTCAGAAAATCGCTTTACGTCATAATGAGGGAATGTTTTTAAAGAGCAGACCCAAGACAGGTTTGAAAACCTACTTTTGGTAAACTCTTTGCACATTGCCACTTATTTTCAGGTTAACTAATATAAGTATTCAGGAGTGACCAGTAGAGCAAGTTGATTCTTCACAAGTTTGCCTGTCACTCACCTCTTACTTTAAATGACTAACTTAGCATCTGGATTCAATGTTTTCAAACTTCATGAAAGTCAGTATTCTTAACTCGGATTCTACGTATCTCCATGAAATCAATGAATTTTTAAGTTTTCTATTTTCCTGTCGCTGATGAGTTTCTTGTAAAAATTCATCCTCGGTTTCTTTTGTACAATTTTTCAACAAATAGTCCTGTATGATGATTAATTTTCTACTCTCATATGAAGGGTTTAAGAAATAACCTTTTACATTTGAGAAGAATAACTATCGATTATTAGACTGTCATTTTGATCATGGATATCTTGCTAACTGGCACCACGTCTTAGAGCATCACCCTACACTGACATAACTGACCAATAAATACACTGACAATATTTAAAGTTGAATTGCATTACTGTAAATGGAGCTATAGTTATAGGAAGCATATTACTGAAGAATTCTGGAAAAGAAAAAAAATGTACTCACCAATCTTGCCGCCACTGATGCAGTAAGTCATGAATTATATCTGTTTTGTGTAGGCTAACCATGTAACATGGATACCAGTACCTTAGTATGTGGAACATTTTTTAAATCCGTGACCCACTAGTTAAAAGTCAACAGTCCAAACCAGTGATCTACAGCTCTACTCTGAGGAGCCCTGCACTCAGGGGGAAACACACGTCCAGTGTTTCTTAGTTTTCAACTATTCTCAAATTGCTGTCAGATTGTGACAAAACTATCTTAAAAGCAAATAGCTATTATGGTGGACTGTGATTGTAAAATTTGGTGAAATGACTTCCCTTATATCCCATCTATAAGCTGAAATTTCATTTTATTCCAGATTTATTAGAAAAGATATAGTAAACTTAACTTCTTGTGATGGCCTTGTCAAAAATTAGAAACAGATATTGCTCAGCTTCACTGTTTGTCTAACCTAAAATGTTGCTAAAATTCCTCCGAATAGATTTATTTATGAAACTGAAGTATTGACAATAAATGTGGATCATTATCTCATTATCTAATTATTTGTTAACCCACTATAAACAACTACAGCACCAGTCAAATATAGATAGGTCAGAATTTTTAATCAAATCTCCTTTAAAAAAAGCCGAACAGAAGGCGAAAGGGGTTAGTTGGTGACATTTTATTAAGGAATCTTAAATTAGTGTTGCATAGTTTGAAAGTGAAAACAATTATAAATTGATTCTATGAAAGGTAAAGTTTAGTCATTGATTTAATAGTTCCCAAGCCACACAAATAATGCAAAATTGTACGCTTTCTTAATCGTCATTTTAACTCGTTGATAATATTTATGTACATGAACCTTCAGAGAACAGATTTTCTAGAACTTTATGAAAAAGTAGTATGTTCATTGAATTCTGCATGATATTCTTTAGTGAACGAAGAACTAGTGGATTTCATCAAGATAAGGTGCTATTTTGGGTCACCTAAATGTACATTTGCGGGCTTCCATGTTCAAATGAAACTTATAATATAGACTACATTTCTAAACAATATCACAAATGGAAAGCAGATAGAGTGTAGAATAATCAACAAGTTACTGCTAGGAAACTTGGTAAGTTCTGATTACACGGTTATGCCAGATTCATCACCTTATATTGATGACTAATATTGTTAGATGCAAGTAAAACAGAAGTGCAACAGAAATCAGCCCAGTATTTCAGTTTCAAAGTGCAATCGACAGAAGACTTGGTCATTAACATGAAAACAGATAATTCCTGTGCTGTCATCATTCAGGCTTGAAAACGTCAACCAACCACTTCGCCTCCCTTCTATCAATCTGTGAAGATGATCTCATCTTAAAATAGATAGTGATACAAAGATTTTAACTTACTCTTTTCATCTGAAACTGAAATATAGACATCTTAAACTTGTTTACCACTTTATTTTTGCAGATATCTTTATTACAAATGATGAAACTTGCAAGGTTACTACGTCTTGCTCGTTTAATTCAAAAATCACCAGATTATCTCAATATAGCGTAATTGTATTAGGACTTCTCATGTTCAGCTTTGCATTGGTTGCACATTGGTGTGCTTGTATCTGGTATGTTATTGGTGTGTACGAAGTTGATGGCTCACATATCGGTGAGTTACAGTTAGTATTTATTTTTAAAAAGATTAAGAGGTCTGTTTTGACGTAGATTACTATAAAGTGAAGTTGTTTTTTAAAATTATCTGATAGTCTTCAACAAACAATGAACGGGTAAGGTGAACGGTGGGGAATAATCGAACTTAAAGATAAAAATATATTTACCAAGGTATAACAACTAAAAACTGTTCTTGAAAAAAGTAAACTAAAAGTCTCTCATATCAAGGTAGTTTTTCATCATATTGCTAAAATAGGTAAATTCACATTCCTCGGAATCATTGTCACTATCGTTACCTCATAAAAGACATCCCCTTTTCTGGAAGTGGATTGCAGTGGAATACTAAGGCAAACTACATTATTATTTCTAAATGGTCATTCCCATGAATGTACATCTTTAGACGCAGATGTTTCTACTATAACTTAGGCCTAAAAAACATTTTTTCAAAACCACAACACTAAAACAGGTTGTCGAATCACGTTAGGAAACAATGAGCAAAACCACGAAAGCATTCGGTCACTGTGGTTTAAAAAGTGAACAGGAAGTGGCAGTCACAAACTGATATCACTGTTGATGAAGCTTGGGAACTTAAGAAGTGGGTTTTAGATTGAAATTGTAGTGTAACAAATCTCTGGGCAGCGTAGAATTTTCCAGATTGCAATATCATCTAAAACATAAACAAAAGACAACTTTCTCTTCAATAACTACTTGCCCTTACAAAAGTGAGTAACCTGTTAAATCAAGTTAAGTAGTTTTAAAATAAAGTAGAGCTCCGAGATGTCTATGATTTTTAAAAGCTTATGAGAGTAGATATAAGGAATAAGACAAAAAGGGTACACTAAGGAAGAGAGAACACCCGGAAACTGATGGATGAAACTAAAAACGACATATTCATGTCACCTATCAAGACAAAATGAAAGGTAGTGAGCAACATACCTATGTGGATGAACACTAGAACTGTCTGAAAGTTATATGGAAAGAAAGCTGCACAAGCATATTAGGAAGGAAGAAGAAAGAAGATGAGGATTGGATCTCGACAGACACATGGAAACTGATAGAAGAAAAGAGTATAGTGAAGCAGAAGATAAGCCAGTGCAAGGATGAACAACGAAAATAAGAACTGAGCACAACGTATAAAACACTGGACAAAGAAGTGAAGAAGAGTGTACGCAAAGACAAAAGACACTTCTACGACACATTGGCAAGTGGAGCAGAACAGGCTGCTGGTAGGAGAGACCTAACAACATCATTTGCATCAAATAACCAGGTTACTATCTGGGATAGGAGAGATCAACACAGATGAAAGCAATAAAAGATGATGAGGGAAATTTAATTACGAGAGAAGGGAAACAAAGGAAACGATGGGCTGGCCACTTCGAGAAGCTCTTGAATCGATCACCACCACCACCACCACCTGCACTTCGTCCAGAAATACCACCTGCAGCCCGGCCACAGAACTACAAGTGAACACAAGGCCTCCGACGAAAGTCGAAGTCCTGAATGCCATAAGGCTACTAAAATGTGGGAAAGCAGCAGTACCAGATAGAAACCCGTCAGAAGCTGTGGGAACAGACGCAAGGAGAATAGCGGACATGCTCGCACCAGTATTGCAGAAGATCTGAAAGGAAGGAGAGGTACCTGGCGATTGGTAGGAAAGCTACCTTGTCAAACTCTCCAAGAAGAGAGACCTAAGTCTTTGCAAGAACTGGCGCGGAACCGTGCTCCTGTCCCAGTGTACACCAAGCGAAATATTAAGCCGCATCATCCTGGAGAGATAAAAGGATGCGCTGGATTCCAAACTACAATAGGAAAAGGCTGGGCGGCTTGATTCAAGAAGTACAAATCATGTGCGGACCAAACTGTAACGCTTCGTATCATCAAAAAGCAAAGTATACAAAGGTAGTCAATTCCCTACCTCACCTTAACTTCACCAACTTTGAAAAGGCATCCAAAAGCGTCGACCGGGGGGTAATGTGGCAACTGCTCCAAAACTACGGAATATCAAAAACTTTTATCAACCTCTTTCAACAACTATATGAACCCACTACATGCCAAGTAATTCACAATGGGAAGCCCAGTGATGCCATTGAAGTAAAGTAATTCCTGATTGTGGTGGACTGGATCATGCAGCAAACAGTGAGGAACGAGAAGAGGGAGATACGTCGAATCGAGGAAAAGATCCAAGAAGATTTTCATTTCGCCGACGACTTGTGCCTAATGTCGCAAAATCTCGAAGATCTACGGGCGAGATCCTACAAGTTGACAGAAGAGGTGAGGCAGCGAAGACGGGACTTCAAGTGAACGTAGAGAAGATAGAGATGATGATGATACCCAACCAACAACAACAACAAGCTCTAATCACCATCAACGGGAGAAACTTAAAGAAAGTAGCCTCTTTCACCTACCTAGCCAAGGCAGCGTCGTTTCAACTACAGGTGGCGGCACAGACGAGGATGTCAAAGCAACCAGGATCGAAAAGACAGCAAGACAGGCCTTCCTGTATTAACCTGAAACCAGTGTGGAGATCTTCTGCACTACACTCAGCATAAAGCATGAACAAGATCCGGATTTTCAGCACCAACGTCAAGTCAGTGCTCCTATATGACTCAGACACTTGGCGCATTACAAAATGCCTTTCCAGCAAACTACAGATATTCATGAACAACTAACTACCTATGCTCGATACTGAAGATCAGACGGTCGGAAGGAATAAGCAACAAGTAACCCTGGGAACGAACCAACCAAGAACCTATCGCTCAACAAAAATGCAGAAGGAAGTGGAGATGGATTAGGCATACACTGAGAAGGTCGACTGGGGACATCACGCGTCAGGCCAGTCGCTCGAGTGGAATCCAGATTGGAAACGACGAATTGGTTGCCAGAGGTGAGGGTGACATAGAGGAGATAATGTGAGGAAGAAATGAGAGCATGTGGGCTGTCGTGGAGCCAGGTTCAAAAGATTGCAGAGAACAGGGTGGAATGGAGACGTGCTACTGCAGCCCTATGTTCCACTAGGAATCCAAGGGACAAATTATGTAATAATATAAGTAGGAGAGAAACTCTGGGCTTACAATCGACACAGATGTATTCCATAATGTTTACTCAAAACGTTTTGCGGAATTGGTATTTAAAAACATTATTAGGTATGCCTAATTATCCTGCTCTCCTTACCACCAGGCAGCAGTTCTCACGTTTATCAACAAAGTAGACTAATAAGCGTAACCCTTTATGTTGGTCATGATGACTTACAGAGGAATCCAGGATGCGCGTTTCGTCCTATTTCAAACTCCTCAGCTGGACGTACCTGCACCTCAGTGAGTTATGTTGTTCCTACTAAGACTCGAACCTCGTATCCATCGCTCCAAATTTCGTTGCATCCTGGGTTCCTCCAATGGTCACCAAGATAAATTTAATAGCATGAATATCCATGAGTATCAAGGCAAATTCACAGGAGCCTATCTGCCAGCAGAGGTCGAGCAGTTCGGCCCTCTAAAGCAATAGGAAATCACAAGCATCATAACAACTAATTAGCGTAACTTGAGTAATGAGTATGAAGTGATACACAGATCAGCTGAAGTAAACAACTTAGCTACTTCCACTAAACCGCATTTTTGTAGAGTTTGAACGGCCAGTGTTGAACCACATGCACACCTTCACTGACAAAGCATGATGTTATTTCAACAATCCATCCTTCTTTTTATCTCCTGCAATCTTTTTATTTTCCCTTAGTTCTTTTGTTTTGATTTATTTCGGGATGATTTTCACTGCTTTTATTTGATGCAATATAAAATACCACTAATATGAATTAACAGAACTCACCATAATTTGTTCGAAGTACCGATATGAAACATTTCTTGCATAGCGCAGATCTCTGGTAAACTTGAAATTCGGTGCATGCATCTTGGTTATTCGCTTAAGTTGTATGCATCAAAAAAAGGAACAAAGAAGAGGAAATGAAAGTTTGTTTTGCTTTTTTTTGCAATGTAATCATAGATGGGATGACCAGCTGATAAACTGTTAGATAAATACAAACCATGCAATTCACAATCATATGCTTGTTTCCAGATATAGAAACTTCCTTGTAATTCAGGTAAATAAAGAGTTGATAACAAAAAAGTAGACAGTTAGAAAGTGTTTTTTTCCTTACCTGAAGGTGAAAACAAAGGTGTGATTTGTAAAGTGTTGATAAAATAAAGCAAATGTTTGTCAGACAGGATAAAGGGTGTTTAAAGCAATCTGATGCATGAAAAAGACTGATAAATACACGATTATTATTTTTTCCCTTGGATTCCTAGTGGAACATAGGGCTGCAGTAGCACGTCTCCATTCCACCCTGTTCTTTGCAATCTTTTGAATCTGGCTCCACGACAGCCCACATGCTCTCATTTCTTCCTCACATTATCTCCTCTATGTCACCCTCACCTCTGACAACCAATTCGTCGTTTCCAATCTGGATTCCACTCGAGCGACTGGCCTGACGCGTGATGTCCCCAGTCGACCTTCTCAGTGTATGCCTAATCCATCTCCACTTCCTTCTGCATTTTTGTTGAGCGATAGGTTCTTGGTTGGTTCGTTCCCAGGGTTACTTGTTGCTTATTCCTTCCGACCGTCTGATCTTCAGTATCGAGCATAGGTAGTTAGTTGTTCATGAATATCTGTAGTTTGCTGGAAAGGCATTTTGTAATGCGCCAAGTGTCTGAGTCATATAGGAGCACTGACTTGACGTTGGTGCTGAAAATCCGGATCTTGTTCATGCTTTATGCTGAGTGTAGTGCAGAAGATCTCCACACTGGTTTCAGGTTAATACAGGAAGGCCTGTCTTGCTGTCTTTTCGATCCTGGTTGCTTTGACATCCTCGTCTGTGCCGCCACCTGTAGTTGAAACGACGCTGCCTTGGCTAGGTAGGTGAAAGAGGCTACTTTCTTTAAGTTTCTCCCGTTGATGGTGATTAGAGCTTGTTGTTGTTGTTGGTTGGGTATCATCATCATCTCTATCTTC